TTATTATTATTATTATTATTATTATTATTATTATTATTATTATTATTTTAAATACTCTGTAGTGTGATTGTGATGTGGTGTTTGGGGTACTGTGCTGGAGTAGCTTTCAAATTTCATTGTATTTGTAGAATGCAATGACAATAAAGGTATTCTATTCTAAATATATGGATTAAAAAATAGAAATAGAATAGTTGTAGACATAGATTATTAGGAAGAAAGTAGAAGAAGATAATTTAATTTTGTACAATAAAACAGTTTCGTATGGGAAAAACAAATAAGAGTCTTTGTATCTGTATTAAGAAAAACCCTAACAATAGGCAAGGTGTGAAAGGAGAATTTTTAGCTCATTGCACAGCCTGTTAAAGCCTCAGTACAGAGGTAGTTTAGGATATATTCTTCTTTTTCTTGCATAGTTCTTGAATATATTGACTATTGAATATATTGACTGCACCTGTGAAAAGATAATGCACTCTTAACAAACAGCACTTATCCCATGATATATTCTCAACATGGAAACCTTTCTCAGAAGTCAGCGGCAGAGCAATTCTGCATTTCTATGGCATCAAAGATAAGACCCCGGTGGTTACATACCTGTATGAATTTCAGGTCCTTGGTGTAGGATAGTGCAGAGTGAGGATTGGATAGTGGTTTGGCAATGCTGCATGGCCACAGCATCAAAGCACCCAAGAAGATCATCAAGTGATTCATGATAGAGCTTCCAAACTAGCTTTAAAGAAGCAAGTCTTTAGTCCTCAATGCCTTGTAGTCCAAGAACAGTGGCTTTTATAAGACTGAGTTAACATGTTGTAAAATTCCAGGTGAGTCACTTTGTGGCATTCGTCTCCTTTTTTCTGCCTGTTTCTGAAATAATTTTGTTCAAATGTCAGAATTTCAAAATATTATCAGGAAGCACAGCTTGATATCTTCCCCCCGCCTTCCTTGTTGACATTTCCACTGATGTATACGTGCAGGAGGTACTTTATTTTTCCCACCCCCTTTCCATTTTTTTTCTTTAATCCCCTAAACCACAGGCTAAAGGGAAGTTGACTTTTGAAAATTCAGTCCAACATAATTGGGAATGACCCAATATTGTTTAACTTGCCCAATCTTTTTTTTTTTTTTTTGGCTTGCCACTAAGACTCCGGATTTTGATATGTTTATTTTATGTATTTTTGGAATTATTCTCTTTTCCCCATTTTGGTTTTGTGGGTGTTATTTAATTTTAGGATGAGATTGTTAGCTGCCTGGAACTTTTGGGATTAAACACAGAGGTGGTATTCAGCAGATTCTAACTAGTTCTGGAGAACCGGTAGCGGAAATTTTGAGTAGTTTGGAGAACCGGCAAATACCACCTCTGACTGGCCCTGCCCCCATCTATTCTCGGCCTCCCGAATCCCAGCTGATTGGCTGGGTCTTCTTTTGTTGCCCTGCACAGGAGAACGGAGCTGGAAAGCAGGTTAGTGGGGTGGGGAAGGAATGGAATTTTGCAGTAACCTTCCTCCAGGAGCGGGATGGAAATGGAGATTTTGCAGTATCTTTCCCCTGCCACACCCATCAAGCCACGCCATGCCCACCAAGCTAGGCCCACAGAACCGGTAGTAAAAAGAAATTGAACCCCACCACTGATTAAACAGCATGCAAGTGTAAACAATGAAACAAGCATTATTTTCTATGAAGAGTTACAGAGAGCTTATATGCAAAGAAATGAAAAGTGAAAGAGCCTTTCACATATTATGTTTCTGATTTAAGAGTTATAGTTTGTAAAAGTAGTCATGGCGGATGATCTCTAACATTGTGGAAAATTGTCAGAATTTTCTGTTGAAAACTGAATTTTCTGTTGAACAGAATTTTCTGTTGAAAAGTGTTCAGAAGCCTATCTCCTTAGCTGTATTCATATTTCCACTTTTTAAAACTATATGACTTCAATTGCTTTCTTTGCTAGTGCATGAAACTTTAGGTACCTGGAGGCAGGGGTGCGATTCAAATTTTTTAACAACCGGTTCTGAGGGAGTGGCTTAGGTGGTGGGTATGGCTTGGTGGTCATGTTACTGGGTGGACATGGCTTGGTGGTCATGCTGGGTGTGGCCAACTCAATATCACTCACATCGAGGCCCAGATCTCCTCACCTGGCCTCTCAAGACTGTGAGGATGCTGCAACAGTCGTAAGTATGAAAAATGGTCATAAGTCATTTTTTTTAGTGCCACTGTAACTTTGAATGGTCACTCCACACAAGCAAAGTACCAGGAGGGGGAAAAAAAAACTCCAGAGACCTTCCTGAGACAGAAAGTCTAGTCCTGCCAAGAATGTAATAAGGGTTAACGGAGAGGCAGTTTCTGTAAGCAACACCAGAATGTTTCCTTCCTGCTTCCTTACAGGATTAGGCCAGTCATTTCTTCTAACTACCGGTTCTCCGAACTGCTTAGAATGTTAACAACCAGTTCTAGTGAATAGTTGCGAACTAGTAGAATCCCACCCCTGCCTGGAGGGTCTTCAGCCATTTCATCATTTGTATGAATACTGGAGTTGGAGGACCTCAATTGAAGAAAGAATAGGACCAAGCCAACAGTCCTGCAGCCTCTGTGCCATACTGTCAAGCATTCCACTGTTCTCTCATCTACCGGTTGTGGGACTTTGCAAAGTTGGCAGTCAACCAGGTTACATAGAGTGATGTGTAGCCATTTGTGGAATATTATCATGTTATGCATCCTTTTCAGACATCCCAGAGTGAACAATCTTCAACCTCAAACTACCAAAACTTTATCTCTTTCGTGAGTCAACCACATCCAGTTATAGTGGAATCCATCAAGGATGCTAACTTCCCCTGTTCTTTTTCTTTGTTTTCTTTCTTATAAGCATTCTAGAATTGTTAACTGGATATTCATTGAGTGTTTTTATTTGTTCTGGTCTTTGAGTGTAATAATGTTCAGTGAATTTTGTCACAGTAGTTAAGGGAATCACTGCAAGTTGTTAAGTTAGTCACACAGTTGTTACATGACGCTGGCTTCCTCATTGACTTTGCTTCTCAAAAGGTCGCAAAAGGGGACCACGCAACCCTCAGACCAGTGGTGGGATTCAAAATTTTTTACGACCAGTTCTGTGGGCGTGGCTTGGTGAGCATGGCAGGGGAAGGATACTGTAAAATCCCCATTCCCTCCCCACCCCACTAACCTGCTTTCCAGTTCCGTTCTCCTGTGCAGCAAAAGAAGACCCAGCCAGTCAGCTGGGACTCAGGAGGCAGAGAATAGATGGGGGCAGGGCCAGTCAGAGGTGGTATTTGCCGGTTCTCCGAACTACTCAAAATTTCTGCTACCGGTTCTCCAGAACTGGTCAGAACCTGCTGAATACCACCTCTGCCTCAGACCCTGCAACTGTTATAAATATAAACCAATTAGCCAAGTGTCCAAATTTTGATCACATACCATGATGATGCTGCGAAGGTCATAAGTGTGAAAAATGGTCGTAAGTCACTTTTTTTCAGTGCCTTTGTAACTTTGAACGGTAACTAAATGGACTCCTGTAAATTGAAGACTACACATTGAGATGTAGTGATTTATATTGTTATCTAGTGAAAGGACAATTAAGCAGTGGGACAGCTTGCTTTCAGAAGTTGTGGGTGCTCCATCAACGGAGGTTTTTAAGAAGAGCCTGGACAGCCACTTGTCTGAAGTGGTATAAGGTCCCCTCCTTGAGCAGGGGGTTGGACTAGCAGATCTCCAAGGTCCCTTTCAGCTCTACTCTGATTGATTGGTTACACAGCAAACACTTATCATGCCATCACATGATAGCTTGATTCCACAACCTGTTAACAAGAGCTGAATCCTCCCCATGTGTTGAATCATAAGCGATTCTATCATGCTTTAGTCTAGCATGGTGTGCAAAACTGGTCAATGAGATAAAAAAGGAGAAACAATAAGATAAAAAAAGAGAAACACATCTCATATTAAAGTAACTTTTAGATTGTTTGGCTGACATAAAGAAGTGAAAGTTAGATACGAATCAAGACAAGGCTTTGTTTCGTCAGTTTCTCAGACCCACCCGTGTTTCAGAAGAAGCTAATGATGATTGAGATAAAGCCAAAGAGTGAGTCTACCTTTGTTGCAGAAATGGTCTTGTGAGAGCCAGACTATTTTATCTGCTCACAGTCTCATAGAATGTGTGCAAGAACTTGGAAAATCCCTTTGTTTATGACTAAGTTTCGGTGGATAAGGTGACCTAAAAATGATTAACAAATTGCCATCCAGCAACACCCGATTTTAAAAGGAAAACATTAACCATTCAAGCTGAAAATATTAAACATTGCAGACTGTCATTGACATACCATTAAACATCTTAAAGAGGGTGCTGGATTCAGGCAGGATGAAATTTGGTGCAGGTCTTTCAAGTGGACAAATTACAGATATAGATTAACAGAGTTGGAAGGTAGGTCATCTAGTCCAACCCCCTGCCCAAGTGGGAGACCCATTTCTGACAGATGGCAGTCCAGTCTCTTCTTGAAAGCCTCCAGTGATGGAGCTCTCACAACTTCTGAAGGCAAGCTGTTCCATTGGTTGATTGTTCTCACTGTCAGAACATTTCTTCTTATTTCCAGGTTCTCTCCTTGTTCAGTTTCCATCCATTATTCTCTGTCTGGCCTGAAGGTGCTTTGGAAAACAGATTGACCCACTTCCTCTCTATGGCAGCCCCTCAAATACTGGAACACTGCTCTCATGTCTCCCCTGGTTCTTCTCTTCACTAAACTAGCCATGCCCAGTTCCTGCAACCATTCTTCTTATGTTTTAGCCTCCAGTTCCCTAATCATGTTGGTTGCTCTTCTCTGCACTCTTTCTAGAGTCTCCACATCTTTTTTACATCGTGGCGACCAAAACTTAATGCAGTATTCCAGGTATGGGTTTACCAAGGCATTATAAAATGGTATTAACCCTTCACATGATCTTGATTCTATCCCTCTGTTCATGCAGCCTAGGACTGTGTTGCCTTTTTTGGCAGCTGCTGCACACTGTTGGCTCATATTTAAATGATTGTCCACTAGGACTCCGAGATCCCTCTCACAGTTACTACTATTGAGCAAGGTACCACATATACTGATCAAATAAGAGTGGGTTCAGCTTGCAGCTGCATAACGGATAGAGAAAGAGGTTTGGAAGGGATCCTCCCTAACTTCCCACGCTATAACAGAATCTGGAAGATTTTTTCAGGCTTGCAACATGCTGCTAGTGTAGCCTCAAATAGAAGTAGCTCATATAGTGTGTTTCCTGTATAATATACGTGGGAAGGCTGATATGCTGTGTCAACCTTTAGTTTGTATTAGACAAATTTAGCACAGTGTTTAGTCACTGTGTACAAATCTATTTTTTAAATACTGTAGTAATGATTCTGTGGCAACCATAATCTTGCTTCTCCACTGAAGAGGTCAGAGCTCATGCTACAGGTTTCACTGACAGACTGCCATCTGTCAGAAATGGTGTAGGATCTCCTGCTTGGGTGAGGGGTTGGACTAGATGTCCTATGGGGTCCCTTCCAACTCTGTTATTCTGTTATTACCCATCGCATCATCCACATGCGTGACTTTCACCAAGCATGCCATTGAAATGATTTTAAAGTGCAGTGACTTTAAAGTAAAGTGCAATCATTCATTTCAAACCTGATGCTCCATCTCTTTCACAAACAGTATTGAGGTAACTTAGAAATAGAGCATTAAAACTTTATAAAAATATCAAAACAGGCACCATATATCTGATATGAGAACATATAGGCTGCTGAATGTTCAGGCTTATCTGTGAAGCTGTGTTAGGTGGATAGAATCAGCAATGCTTGGAACATTGAACTTGCCAAAGAGAGTTTGAGTCCTCCTCCGCCTCCTCCTCTT